TTTGTCATAATACTCTTTACCGCTGACTATTAGCACCAACGTTCGTTCATGTAGTAGTTCATGTGTTCGCTCATGTGTAGCAGTTGTACTATCAATTGCCATCTTGTACCCGTTTTTCTTTTCCATTTAAATTTCATCTGCCTACTTTTCACAATTTCTCGCAAACAATGTTGCGAACGGAATCGCCTACCGTGATTCATTTGACACCCCCACCTCCAATTGTTCTTTTCTAACCTTGCAGATTGGTACAGTGTCCATAACTTACCGCCTAATCATTACAGAATGCGAAGTCTGTTCTCGCTCTTCAGAGGGAACTGTTGAGGAAACCTTTTAGAATCCTGTTCCGTAGTAAACATGCGTGATACCATGAACCAAACCGTAAATATTAGATATCTCGGTGTTAATCAGTCACAATTTATCTTAGTCTGGTCAATTGATTTCTGTTTTTGTAAAGTTCAGAGAATTTTCATTTTAGGTCCTGCACTTCAAAACTTTATTCACCCCACACTTTATGATTGGCCACTTTCTTTTTGTTTATATTTTCCCTCTTTGGTCATTTGGGTCTCCCGTAATCTTCCCATGGTGCTGAAGATGGACTTGTAGCTGCTCTCCAGATCTTATATACATTTATCTGGAAGTACGGGGATTTTCCGTGAAATTCTCTATCAGTTCATCGTTTCACAACATACGAATTCGCTATTCACAACAATACTGAAGAAAAACTCGCAGCCACCACATGCAGTTTTCTATAAACTGCACATGATGTTTTCCCACTCGATCGTACTTTAACTGTCTATTTGTTCGTACAGCCACTTGCCGGTCATCTGTGGTGCTTACCTTTCCGGGTTCTATGTAGCCCGGAACACAGTGCTTCTGAACTTAACTCACTCATATCGTAAACAGTATTTTGTTTTCTCTGGTGTACGTTTGCTTGCCTAATGGTTTCTAATTTGAACATATAGCTACTGAAAATTCACCTTTTGGAGTGCCTAGAAAGTATACTTGACTTGAAATGTGCACAAATCCAAAAACCACCGATGGTAGCATGAAACCCTGTTATGATCGGCCCTAAATGTTTTCCTCCATTGCCGAAATTAAGAGATGGTTCGAAAGTAACATTTAGAGGATACTGACTTTGTTGTATGCATGGCACTCCTAGACAATAGTTCATCTTCTCCGTACCAGGGAGTGAAAAGAAAACAAAATCAGATTTGCATTTACTGCAAAAACTGATCAATAAACTTGCTGTCCAGCAAGGTCTAATGCATAAAATAGTGCTGTTTGTCTTGCTTGAGGTTTTACTACTGAAACCATTAACAGTAGCTAAAAACTAGAGAAAACTACCATATTTTCAAGTTTCGTCGTGCCGGATTGAAGTGTTATGTTATAAATGTGAAAGTCTAGTAGCCTTGGTGGGTTATCGGTACTTACTTTACTGCGGCTGGCTCCTTGGAAAGGATAATCCGGCTCCAGACATGATCATAATCATGATCATGAGGTTCCTGGGGAGTTTGGTACGAGAGACGTCCCCAGAGTCACTCGGTGTTTTTTTATTTTGAGGGCGCACCTCTAGCCTTTGCACAACCAAGGGTGAACTGAAAGGTTGCAGGAAGTAATCCCTCGCCTCGGAAGTGAGAGGATCAATGGCTTTAGTTTGAAAAGCCAGTCACATCTACCTTTGTCCCGGCACCGTTATTAGGCACATGAGGCATTTAAACAGGAGCCAGGTGACCTAACCTGAAAACCATCACACCCTGTTTGTTCGCCACTGCTTATTTGTTGCGGCGTGCCACAACTTATTCACACCTAACCTTTTTCTGTGAAGGTATCCCCCTATCCAAAACCCGGGGACGCGCCAGATAGCATTCATCTCTGCCTCTGGCCTATCGGTGTGGCCTAATAGCTCATAACTTGTATAGCGTGCGCTGAACAAAGGCATAGGCGGCGTCCGTGCATGGGTTCGAAGCCCAAACTTAGAGCGTGAAACTACTTAACGATTTGGAGTTGTTTGTACTTTGTTGAAAATGCACACAGCTTGTCTCCATTTTGGGCCGATTCAATGATCCGCTGGCTACAAACAACAGTGGAGATCTATTCTAAGGACAAACGAGTGAGCAAAGTTGAAACAGCTAATTGTCACCGAAGTAAAATGACGCCTACAGAATGACATACTGTAGTTCCCTTGATGATATAGTGAACTGAAAACGTAATAGTCCATTTTGTACTCGCGTAACAGATTGCGGTTACCCCAAGAAAGTACACTCGAATATGCGCGTCTACAGACAGATCACCCCAATGGCTTACACCATTATTGGATTGGTAGAAGTTGGGTACAGGTAAATTGTTCACTTGATCGCGTATCTAAACTGTCAAAATGGCTTCGAGTAGAGCGATCCCTGTAGTAGATTGAAGCTTCACATAGGCGTTTGAAACGGAGTTGACAATGTTGGGCTAATTGAAATTCAACACTGCTCTTGGACAGGAATGAATAACACTGACAAGATCCTAGATTAACACCTTATTAATTGAGCTAAGTTTACCACAACAATGATGCCATAAAAAAAGTTTCTATGAGAAGGAGACCTCGAAACAAAGAACATCTGCTTGCTTTGATTTTTGCTTGTTCCTCTTAGCTGAGATGAACCATGGGGCAGTGTAAATAAGCAGTCCCCGGGGGCCTCCCCATCTTTGACCCAATCTGAATGCAAACGTGCGCAAATGACGCTGCTTGGAATGCAGTGCTCCCAGAGTGGAGTTACTTCCCAATCAAAAACGGCTGAGTTTCAACAATGAAGCGCTATTGTGTTGGTTAATGAGAAAGTGGAACAATGTAAGAGATTCAGAAAGAGCGAAATATTCAAGAAACATGAGGGCTTCACCAAGAAATCGAAGTTACCATAAAATAAATGTATTTCTGAGATGAAAAAGGTTAGAGTTAGGTGGTAACTCCACCGACCTTGGCAATCGATGTGTCGATCAGCAAACCTTACCATCTGTTTATTGTTTTACCTCAACCTAATGACTTCCACGTTAAGCCATGATTTTCAGGGGTACTTGCATCGGAAGCGAAGACGAATGGAACAAACCGTCGGGATGTCATGGCATAATATTGTGTGCACCTTGTACCATCTTCGAAAATTACGGTCGTAGTTTTGCTTCAATAACCATTGATGGTTATTCCAAAAGTAAATATAACGCATAGCTGCGTGATTTACTACTTACAGTGAACAGGTGGCTGTGTTTCCATTGAAGCAATTTAAAGTGGGCAACAGTAGACTGTGTGTTTGTTTCCTTCCATTACATTCTCCACACCTTATCATAACACAATCTGTTTTGCAAAAGAGATTCAACACGGTTGGGAATTTGGAAGTCGCGCCTAATGGTCTCTCTCGTGTTGCGGTTCGGAAAATGCTCTTCTCTCTATCTAGTATGTTTTCCATCCAATGAAGCTGAACCGGAGAAACATTGAGAAAATTACCGGTAAAAGAATAAGATCCATTCACCCGTGAACAGAAATTGACGCTCTCAGTTAATCCACAGTTAGGTAGTTCTATCGGTATTTTGCAATCCACTGATATCGGTGATTAAAAAATTTATTTTTACTTCCTTTTTTACTTATTGACTATACAACTGTGCAGTTAACTTTCAGGAAGGGGGCTGCAGTTATAGAAAGGCTATCTGGGAATAAACAGAAATGGGGAAGATGGGCAGTAGTGGAGCGATTCGAACCCGAGACCTCTGGAGTCACAATTTGGTGACCCAGTACTTGGCCACTTATTCCCATTTCGCTCAAGTTCATTCGTGTATACGGAATGCATTTGATCTGAAAGAAGTTCAACAAAGGCCACTGGACAACCTTGTCGTTCTAGTTGAAACTTTTCATCAGTTCTTACTATTTTTATATCCCAGGTAGGTATCGAACGGCAAATCTCGGGTTTAGAGATTGAAATCCATTCCACCGGGGTTAAAACTGAAATGTAAGATTACATGAACTTCATTAGTTGTTTTGAATAGCCACACGGAATCCACAAACACCAAGGGCAATTAAACCATATATAAAATGATTTGAAATCGCGGGATTCAACGAGCTCCCGCAAAATAAGATCGACTCTATGGAACGAAAATACACCCACCGATCCTATTGTAGGAGAATTCATGTGGAATTTAGAAATTACTGTTCAATGCAATTACTTTATACTTCACCAATATTGAACACAATCGGTTAAGCACTGTATTTCTGGAATAAATTCAATCAGGATCAGGCATGTAGGATACCTAACATTTGGTTCGTACGTCTCTTCACCTCCCAATCTCAACACGATTAGGATGTTTTGGTATTATATGTAAGTAGTTCCGAGATACTAACTAGGGCTATTCCAAGCACCAAGTGGTAGCTCATATATAGGGAACACCACACAGAGTACTATCCCCTAGGACCACCATAACTTTGCAAACATTTAATCGAGCAACCAGGATATTGTTGAGATAACCATTGAGCACTGAACTCGAGAATGAATTTTTTTTGCATTTAACTCACAACTACTTGTGAGTAGTAATGTGGGATAATTGATATTGATTGATTTGAACTGACTATCCTTCGGACTTCACCTTCACGCACAATCCTCAGTTCATCGATTCAATCATACACTCGGAAGTACCATAGACTTGAGTTTCGCTCTTATTAGAGCTCATCGATAGTGCATATCCTCCGTCCCGACCGGGAGTGGAACTTCGAGTGTGTGGTTGACTGGATGAACTGAGGATTGTGCGTGAAGGTGAAGTTCGAAGGATAGTCAGTTCAAATCAATCAATATTTGTTTTTCACTGGGTGAGTTCGGAGGTAGCAGAGATGCAGAGATACAACGTGCTCAATTATAATTATAGTAGAACACGGTATCGTACTTTTGTACATCAAAATTTACATTTCTGTGTGATCGTTTGTGGTCAAACATTTTGGTCATTCATCCGCCTGAACGAATGTAACTCATTCAATTTTCCATATGATTCATTCCACTCGCCCACCCCGCCCTGAACCATGCAGATTTTCCGCAAAACATTGTCGAACACAAAGTCAACCACAAACGGCACAAGAGAAACAAATTTTTCGCAACCCATCATTCGAAACCCCAGTTCATTGTGCACGTTATTGCCCGACCAGACCCGGACGTGGGTCATTCGAACAACCGGATTCGGCTGACATGGCACGCATTTGGCAAATGAGTGCACAAGATCAGACCAACGCGACCCTAATAGACAAATCTGTGGATATCCAACTAGGTCGAGACAATCATCAACGTCTGAACGAATTTGTGACACGGCAGAGAAATCTTGTCAGTGATCGGAAAACCAGACATCGGTATCGAAAAAGTTTGGGACAGCAACATGTCAAAGAATGGCTTGGTGTCCCTATCACCTTGCGATGATTATGGTTTCACCCTTGCTTGTTCTTTTGCTTAAAATATTCTCTCTTAAATAAAATCAATTATTGTGCTGATTACTGTTTCATGTTCTAGAAGGGGGTGGAGGACAGAGCATGCTCTATAGTTATTGATATTGTAGCTAAATGCTTTAGCTGTGCAATAATAGTAGTGTTTGGTTTTGCTGCACCGATGTTGTCGATTGGAGTAAATAAGTAACGGATCTAAGAATATAAGCGAAAAACGAGAAGAAAAGATATCTATGGTGAATCAGGAACCGTAAATAGAAGCCCCATTGAAAAATGTCAACCGAATGATGGAGCTGGAAAAAAATGGTCAACTAAATTTTTTCCAATCATCATATATACCCATTGATCAAGAATACTCCATGTAGGTGAATATATGTCTTCGGTGAATTCCTTTTCAAACCTTTACAGTTATATTTATATAAAACAATTTCCATAGGGTAAAACAGAAACGTGGATGAGTCATGCATTTAGTAATGCGCATGAGAGAACTCAAAATTGGTAGCTGTTCGGATTACGTAGCTAAAATTGGCTATGCCACATCACGGTCATATGAACAAGCAATTTTCTCTTCCTCGGTCCAGGAAGGTTTGAGAGCTTGGATCGGTTTTCGCTGGGCGCACAGCTCAGACTTCATAAGTGGGATGCTAATCGCCTGTGCGGTCGCTTATGTCCGAAACCTTATTGCTCTCGAGGGGTGTGGTGAAACTCAGGTAGTGAAAGTTTTCAACCGAGTCATAACTCTCAAGGCTCTTGCTTAGATGAGTAGGGTTTGTGGCGCGCAACAAGCTCGCAAAGATGGGTTGTACTATATGTAAATGGAAAATGAAAAACTGTCCGATCAGCTGCTTGGTGGCCGAGTGGGTAG